CATCTTAGATACACATTATATGAGGAAGACACATTATAGTTATTCAAGAGAGAACACTGATCAGCTTGGCTGTATGAACTCCAGCCCTGGTTCCGTTACACATGTCTAGGTGAGCTTAGGCAAGATATCAAGCTCCCTGACTTTTCTCATCTGTGACATTAACTTTAGTTAAAATTAGCTCCAAGGATCCTTTCAGCATTTATATGGTGTGATTCTCTAAGTTTTTAAACCTAAGGAAGTTAGAGTAGGGTCTAGGTAAATAAAAGTGCTTGAAACTTCATTTCGGTTTGGAGGCATGTAGCAAGTTTAAGTTACGTTTCTTCTAGGTCTATGAATTAAGGTTTAGAAAAATGTAAAGCTTTTTTATTTGTTGGAGTGAAAATTTAAATCCTTTTAAGAGAAGAATGAGACTTTTGATAATGAGAAATGCCACAAGTATGAGTGGTACTCCAGAAACTTGATCTATAAGAATTGAAAAGAGATTTCTTCCACTGAAAGAAAAAAATAGGGTGGCACAGAAGGACATGACTGCATCTGCAAATCCTGTGCTGGAGGAGAGAAGGGCAGCTTTTGTTTTCCAGGAAGGACAATGGAAGTGAGCCCAAAATTAATAGAGGAGATTGAAGGTGGACCACCAGTGTGTTTTAACATTTTACATATCAGCTATAGGTGTTCTGTAGGCTTTTGCTATTATGTTACATTGAGAAGTTAGAATTCATTATTATTTTAGCTGATTACTCTATGATCAGCTCTTGGGAACATTTTTGTTTCAGTCACTTCAGCTTGATTCCATGCAATTTCAACGGCTTTGTGGATTTGCGGACACAGGGCCCCCAGATTATAGACATTCCGACCTTGTGTGACTCCCTTTAACCCCCTTCCTGCAAATCTATTTGCTTGAGGACAGACTATAAAGAACCTCATTCCTCAAACAGCAAGCGTAGTTACCAAAGCCATAGTGGAATGTCTGATTAGTGGCTTCTGTGTTGGTGCTGAAATGTGGTTAATATTCTTTCTCACTCTTCACTCTTTGTGTCTCTGCAAAGGAGAACTTTTGCAGAAATCTTGATTTACTACTGTGGGGTGTAAACTGATGTTAATGACTGCCAGATCATTGGAAGATCTTTTGCATCATATCCTTAGGATTTTTGTAACAATCTGTGAACTGATCTTTTTTTTTAATTTAAATTTCTAGATGCTTTGGGTAGTAAGGGGTCCTTTTTACACAATGCTAAAGTGATTCTCTAAATTCCAAAGGGCATTCATTTTTTGCTTAACCTCCTCCTCTTCCCTCTCTCTCTTTCTCTTTTTTTTCCTTTTCATTCAACATCTAGAACAGTGAACCTCTCAGAAGATCACAGTCTAGTCTCAAGTGCTATACCTTCTTTAAATTATACGTATGTAAGTTTATGGGGTTCTGGTGGAAGAGAAGGAAGCCAAGGCCTGCAGAAAGACCTAATCTTCAGAGGGTTGCTTGGAGGACCAGAGGGTGGGGGATCACACTGCATGTTGCCATATCCAAAGGGATCACCATGGCTAAGGAGGAGTGAACATCTGCTTCTAACTTCTAACTTGCAAATAGTTCCCGGACACTGGGCCCTTTGGGAGCGTGAGAGTTGGATTTGTTGATGTAAACCACCCATTAATTAAAAATACGTTTGAGGGTTTTTATATTCATAGTTTTAAATCATAACTGGCAAAGATCTATGGGTTTTTATGCGGGGCAGACCTGAAGTCATTTTGGTCTTTAGAACCGAGCTACTCTCTTCTGTTAGAGAAGGGCATGGTAGAGAGACAGAGCTTAACTTATTAGTGGAAATACTCTCATTGATTTAAGAAAAATAAAAGAGCAGATATGGATTTTTGCTCTTCAGTGTCTCCCCATCTTCCACCTGAGTGAGGGCAGAAAGAAGTTGTCTTTGTGAAAGAGATTCTGATCCTTCCCTTCTCCCAGGGGCACTTCCCGGGAGCCATCCCACCCAGCTTACCTGTAATTCTCACTCATTCCTACCCTCTCCTCTTGATTTCTGTTTCACAAATGGAAATAAGGTGGGATACACTTTCTGATCATGGAAAGAATATTGTTTAATAATTTTGAGAATAGTAGAAAATGTAAAATGTGGGTTTCCCTTGGTGCAGCAGGCCCACAAAATCAACACAGCACCCTCCCCAGGTCTCTAGTCAAATGGGGCAGCTGCTCATCTTTTCTTTCATGAGAAACATTACAGGAGTCATTCAAAGCCTGCGGAAATGGTGTTGGGTAGGTACGGCCATGAACCCAGTCCAGGCGCAGCGGTTATCGTGGTGTAGAGGAAACTTCTGTTATGTCTCCTCATCCCGTGCAAAGAGGGAGACTTTGGGGAAACTCCATGAAACCCCACCACTGATTTTTCTATGAATGTAAGAAGGGCAGTGTGGAGAAAGAATCACTTTGAGTGCCTGGTAAAGACCCTGGGAAAGTGAGATCACGAACAGGCAGAGATGATCTCACTCAGTTATTTAGGGTGTTGAACGTGATGCACGCAGGGAAGGCAGTTACTGTGAAATGGTTCATAGCTGGTAGAGTGGATTAACTGCCAGGAAAAGCAGAAGCAAACCCTGGGAGAACACTTTTCATCCCCAAATTTAGGAATAACAGGGAGCTCTTTTACACTGGCAGCACTTTTTTTATTCTCCCAGAAAAGATAACTTTCCTCAAGGGGATCTGGTGAATGAAGAAGTGTATTTTCACTCTTGTGATGATGGCCGTGAGGCAGGCACTAACATAAAAGAGGAATTAGCTTGGACATACCACACACTTGGTTTGGCCTAGTCCCATACCTGTGCTCTTGTCATGGTTGATTACCCACTTACAGTAAATATGAAGCAAACAGCCTGCACTGTGGCTTAAGATAAAAGGTATTTTAATAAGCTCAGGTCACATATTATCATGGCCAATAGTAATTTTATATCATTTTCTTAAAGGAAACTGCACTCCTTGCAATAATTTTTTCCAATGAAGCAAAATTTCACATGACAGAACATTTTACATATAATTCTTTCATTTGAATAATAGCATTGAATCCTCTTTGTATCCAACAGAATTTTAAGACATTTTTATAATCTCTTCTGATATACAAATAATAAGGAGGAAAGGTTTGGAAGATCCTCAATTAAACCTCTAATGAGTCTACTTTCTTTAATAGTGAGAATTAAAAAAAACAGCTTTGGAGAGTTTTCCCTTTTCAAGTGAAACAATATAAACACCCCCCCCCCAAAGTAACTTTTTCCTCTCTTACTTTAAGAACCTTGAGGGCTGAACTAGTGGCTTGGTTTCCTGACTGCCAGCTTTGGTTTGCATCTTGTGCAATTCCCCAGAGGAAATATTTGAAGAGGGTTTTTCTCCACATAAGAGGATTTCATCCCACACAGCCCGCAGATTCTGAAGGCAAACTTCATGGACCAAGTGTCTGTTTTTATAGAAGTAGCTACGGAGTATATTTTTCCTTTCACAGGTGCACACCACTCACTCTTAGACCTCAGAAATAAGAAGGTAAAGACTGAAGTCTTTCCAAATGAGGGTAGCTTAAGACACCATATTTCAGTGAGAATCGGGTGCCAATCAGGTTGATTTTCACTTGATGAGGAAAAGAGGGTGACAATCAGGGATCAAACTTCCGAAGCCTTCAAGCTGATCTTTCTTTACAACCGTCTGATTTAAACAGAAGTATTGTATAATCTGGCCTGTATTTTCCCTCTTACTGTGAAACATATTGAAACGCTTTATGTTTAGGTGTGTGTGTAGAAATTTGTGGAGTTCTTTTATACACTTTCTTATTCCAACATTATTCTCATTTTAGGACGTCTAGAAAAGATAGCTCTGTGAGAGCACATTCTGCCCCAGCTTGTAAATTTGGATTTGTTCTTTCCTATCTACTAGCCACCTGATTACGGTCTCTGTGCAAAGGGCACCGGTTCACATCATTTTTTCCAAGCACTTAAACCTGGAAAGATATTTATTAAAGGACTCACAGAAGCTGTCTTGGGGGATTGGAAAACATCGCAAAATTGTTAGCAGACCTTTGACGGTGCTATTTTTAGGAAACTAATTGTGTTCTTTTAAAGTACATTTTTGACAGTGGGACAAAGTTTTCCTTGCCCCCACCGATATGTGAAATATTCACAATGAAAAACATCAGTAAAACTCCCAAACAGATACACTTTAACCTCAGCAGCAGCCAGCAACAGGGGAAAAGTGATTTAAAAGGAGAAAAGGTTTT